TTGCTCCGTACTTTGCTCGGCAAACGGACAAAGCCGAGTAAACGTGGGAAAGATAAAAGGAGAAGAAGTATCCTTTGGTAGCTACCTAACGGAGAAAGCCCGAAGCTCGCAAGAGCGGTTTGAATATCTGAATAGTCTTCTTTTCTTGTCAAGAACCGCGGAGAGCTCCATTAAGGAGGAAAGAAAGGAAACGAGACGAATGCTCCATTAACGTGTACAAAGGTGAGAAATTTCGAGCATCGATGCGAGAAAATTTCTACAGACCTAGAAAGGAAGTAACGATTATTCCATTTTTATTGCCACGCGCTGTATCGCTGCGCGTTCGTGGCAGTAAACGTTTAGCGGTTGGCTCGCGTAGTAAGCATCGTTACGAGACGATAAGAGAAAACTGGAGGATAGTCGTATAACATAGATTTAGAGTATCAGTAGGGAGACCGTGAAGATGAACACTACGTTGATTAACGAGACCGTTAATTAATTGCTCTTGTATCTCACGGGTTCTACCGGAAAAGAGGAACGCGGCTCGAATCCTTTTACTTCTATCGAGAAACAGCGTTAATTACCGTGGTAAAATTCCTGATATCATCTTAGTAATCCGGTTAAGACACCAGTAACTATACCGTGGCAAATTATTTCCACCGGAAGCTCGAGGGAATTCGTGTTTATCTTTATTGCGCTTTCTAGTGGTTCAATTTTGCTAGTAATTTACGTCTATTATTTTCAATATTACGGCCTTTCCGTGTCCAAAATTCGTGACCGAATCAAAAATGACGTTGCGTTTTCAGTGTCTACGATTGGAAGCAGTAAGCAACACGCGAAGAAGTGCCTGCATTAGAGCGGCAGAAAAGAAAAAGATTACGGAATTTAAGATGAGCAAACGTCCGTTATCTTGGCCGACAGTATAAGGTAAAAGGACTAGCGGATAAGATAAGAACGTATCGCTAAGGACAAACAGTGGCTCATGACAATGGTAACCATGCACCCCGTGCTTCCGGTTTCGGGGTATGAAAATAAAGCGTCCTGGTACGGTGCTGGCCCGACGTCAAGATAACGGCACATTTGGTGAACGTGCTCTTATCATCGACCGAAAGTCAAGAAAGAAGAAATAAAATCGTGCACCACGAAAGCAACAACTTCGTCGTTCAGCGTCGACGTCTATTAATTAAAGGGAGAATCGCGTGACCGGAAGCTAACTAGAACCGCTCGTCGTTCGTCTCTACGTGGGCGTAAGTCCTGTGTTTCCAGTTTGCGCGGCCCTCCTCCGTAATTCTGTCACTGATAACGAAAAAAAGATTATTAACCGATATCGTGCAGATTTCCCATCGTCTCTAAACTAACACGAACGATAACACGTAACGCGATGTTAATCTCTTGCATTCCAAATCGCCTATTGCGTAACGCACGCTTTAAGGGTTAGGCTTCAAACCTAAAATGCATGCTTTCGATGTTACTGGCGAAGTAAAAAGATAAACGAACGATGTATTTTAAAGGTTTTATTGCGCATATTCTGAGGTACATATTTCACATACGAAGTTATATTCCGAATTAGTCAGCAGTATGCATCCTCCAACGGACGTAGGATAAGATGCGCTCCATCCCTAATCTTATCCTCGCGTTTTCCTCGCAGTCGCCGTCATACGACAATAAACATTTTCCCTTAGAGCGGTCTATAAGAAATAAATCGTGTACCGCAATTCCCAAAAAGCATTGACCTTTCGCGGTGAAACAGATGGTAGCAGATGGAACGGGCAAGCAGCACGTATCTCTGGTTGCATTTCCAATAGTCGATCGTGTAACGGCCGAACGGAAGAGGAGTTGCAGCCGTTTCGCAGCGGCCCAGGAACAGTGTATATGCCTGACCGTAATGCTGCAATTACGCGAGATTACACGAGCTGGATGGAACAAGCCGGCGGCGCTTTGTAAGGTTTTCAGCAACGTGTATCGAAAATTGAAGCTCGTGGAACGAGCAATGGGAACAGCGTCGTGTTGCGTTGTGCATGCGTCTCGTTTCTCAAGTTTCGGTGAAACCGTGTCGGACCAAGGAAGGAAGTCAATTACGAATTCCCGCGTGCATTTTATCGAATTAATTATATGCCAGGCTCGCCACAAAATGATCTATTGTGTTTTAATGGCCGTGTCACACGCTCCAACCTTGAGCGTGTATACCCGAGGGAATCGACCTCGAACCGGATCTCGAATCCTCTTTTTTTTTCTCTCCCTCTCTGTTAGGAAGGGTAATATGGAATTAAAAAAAAGGGGGTGGCGGATCTTGCGTGTCACGATGTGTAAGTCCTATTCTGTGCCGCTTAAACGACCCGAAATACACCGTCGTCGCCTGAACGCATTCAAACGGACACAAGAGATCAATTTCCTTTTCGTTCCACGCATTGTGCAGCGATTAAATTCTTTTCACGGTCGTTTAAGAAATCGTGCTCGTTTATCGGCCGAGATTCCTATCGGGCTTGTTATCGATGTAACACGACTTCGAATATACAGAGTATCTTGAGAGAGTCGAGTAAGAATCTTGAGAATTTAGTACGAGTCGAATGGAAGCGCAGAAAAACTCTGGTGCCTTCCGAGTGAAAAACTGAGGAGAGTCTAGGAAAAATGCAGGGAGGAAAAACGCAAGGAGAGATTGCGGAATCAATGGGAAAATAGTACGTTAAGATCGCTAGTTTATTTTTAGTTTCTGTACTACACGAGTCAAGAGACGAGTGCACTGACCTCTTCTTGTGGAGCAACCTGTACAGAGTGCGCTTTAATCTCGCGTCCGACGTCGCTGTCACGGTCTTCTACGAGCTACGTAACTGTCTAACTAACGTCACCTCGACGTTAATTACTTGATCTTCTTACGGTAAATAGTAGAACGAGGTATGATATGCAGCGATTCGCGTGCATTCCGTGAAAATAATCCGCGACAGGAAGATCCAAACGAGTCACGGGTTCTGAGAAACACGCGGACGGTAATAGAAAAGCAATTGGGAGCGCGCGAGTAATCCGCAGGAAATTCATTTAATCGGGAAGAGCGAGACAAGGTGCCGCTACGATTGGTCGAGGCTGATTTCACCGGCATTTCTTTGTGTGCCCTTAACGCACCCGGTCGTACGATGCGCTCAAATAGAATCGACCAATTTCATCTCTCCCGACAACCAGTGACATCTTGCTTCTTTTTATTTCGAGTACGCCTTCCGAGACGAATCGACGCGACCGTAACGAACGATGCTAACATCGGAATTCGTTTAAACTTGAATCGCGTAATGGTCCGTAAAAAGCCATACACGATCGAAATTATTACCATATAACCTTGATTTATTCGATTGATCGTCCGTTAACGAATTGATCAATATGCGGCTACGTTGTATTAACGGTGAATTAAATGAATACGAATGTCTTCGAAATGTCATCGATTACGTTGTACCTACAGATGAAGTATTATTAACATCCATATTTCCCATGCTAATAATCTTTTTCGAATTTGTAAATTTATGAATTAAAAAAGAAACGGGTGGTGGTTGAACCTGTGATGTTGCGTCGAGAAGAGTAAATGCCCGCGAAAAAAGAAGAACGAAGGCTGTAACAACGAGACGTTGCGGCACGAAAGCGTCGCGAATTCGCAAACACGTTTTCAAAAAGAGCCGCTGCGTCGCGCCGCGCCGCGACGACTCGGTTCTGCTGGCGATCGATAAATTTCATTACGCGCGAAGGACGTTCTTTCTCAACCGTTGGAATCTTGATGTACAAACGACCGAATAAACGATTTCAGAACTGTTTGCGACCGCATAAGAGCAGCCACTGGTCGCGCCATTAACGCCAGAGATAATGATAAGATAACAAAAGGTGGATGGAGTAAATATGAGAATTGGTAACTCGCCGCCGACTGCTGCGTTTCCTATGTTACGTCACTTGCAAACATTCTTTCTGCCTGCACACTCGTAATTCGCCAGAGAAATGTGCTCTCGACAGCTTTAACGCGAGCAAAAAGAATTTAATTGGCTACGATTAAATTGAACCCGATGAGAAAATTCGTTTCTCGACGCGAAACGTTACCTTGTCATTGCTTTAAATTGTTTCTTGAATCCATTATGTGACCACGTTTATACTTACGCAACCTAATCATATGGTAATATTGTCATTTTTTTCTTAAATAATGAATGTGACACGCGTCGGACAAACTTTGCAATCGCAGGCTAAAATATATTTGTCTACGTCGCAGAAATATGGGCAGATTCTCCAGTTTTTGTTATACGCGATTTATTTGTGATAAAGAATACTTCAAGTTTTTCGATAATAATGAAAAGTTAAGGTGGTTGCTTAAAGACACGAAAGAAACCCTAAAGTATCCTGCTCTAGGGAAACTTTAAGGAAGAACCTATGATGTTACCCCTTCACGCAAACTCGGAAAGGGCCTAACGTGGAACGTTGGGGGCTCTTAGGAAGAACCCTAGGAGAATCTAACCTAAAACCTCTAGTAGTATAATTTGTAATTATAACTCGAGAATGCTACACTTAATTTTCTTAAATAACAGAATGTAGAAGGATGTATTATGACTTGTATATCGTGACTGAGATTGATTCATTTGTCACATTTATCAATGTGCAAACTTTTGAATTAAACTTATGCGATACAACCACCTTAAGTCTCCAAATTTAAGTCCGCTTATTTAACGCGAAGTCAATCACCTGGTTCGCGATGATCTCGAACGCGACCTGCGTAGAAAACATCTAGCAGGAAGAAGGAAGCCCTTCCTCTCGCGTAACGATTATCTAAGGCATCCCGTGTGTCATCCAGTAGCAACGTTTTATGTAATACGATTCGTGTAATCGCGATCCTCTTCGCCGGCGAAAACCAACACACACAGGGAGGCTCAAAGATGGCCTCTTCGATCGTTCGCTTATCAAATTTTATCCATGAATAATTCGAAATAAGAGCAATTAGCTATCGACGAATTCGTGCGATTTTTGTATCGAGGATGAAGCGAAGAATAATTATTTGTACTTACGATTACGACGAATCTCGTAATATTCCTGTGATCCGCTTCGAAAGCACTGCCGTATCAGCGACAAATCCACCACCTGATCCCAAACTTACGAGATTGGGACACGCGTTTCACTGACCGGATCAACTGTACACTCGATTTTCTTCGGCGAGAAACTAAAGCGAACGATCAGAGTACGGTTCAGAGATAACGGCGAAACTGTGTCAAAGAAGGAGTCATGCACAATAAGCGAAACACCCGGATCATCCGCAAATTCGATCGGTCGTGATCAGTTGTCGTAAACACTGGCCGCCATGCTCTCTCAGCACCTGTCAATATCAGTGTACTTGGCCGCCATCTTGCGGCGATGATCCAGATTCTGGACATTAACGCCATCGGACGGTCCGCTCCTATACTATTTTTTTAACGCACCTATAATATCTGTCGTTGCAAAATAAGTTACGAATTCGACTTATGAAACGAAGTATGGTACATATTTTCCAAAGAACCTCGTCGATTTCACTGTCTATCAAATATGTTATCAAGGACAACATTCCGAGTGACATTTTTCTATATGAACAATCGCTGATCAATCATGGTTACAAATGTTTTTTGCGAACAGTTTAGGAACTAACGCGATGTGTCGATTACAGGTATAACGTAAAGTTGTGCAGGACGTTGACCTTAACAACTTATCGAACGGTCATCGAAATCGTAGAGGTGTGTCTATTTGAAGGCGATTACCGACTACTTATTAAAGAATTTCATCGGCGTTATACCTTAAAATATACGTATATAGTTTATTATTAACATTGGAAGCATGTATGTTAGTGTCAATACAAAGAAAGGACTGTCGCATATGTTTTATAATAAATAAAGGATACGATGATAATTAGAATATGAACACACATCACATGTCAGAGGATAAGAAATACACAATAGCTAAATATTTCCTTAGAATTAGAAACAAGGTTCGTTTTGGAACTATCATGTTACCGTAATAGCTATAGCGATTATCAGAATGATGCAAGAACGGTACGATAATTAATACTACAATAAATAAGAATGATTTTACCGGCTAGTATGTGACGGAAGATGTCGAATGAGTTTTGCACGAGTGCACGGCTGATCTGACAAGAAGAACTACCCCAGTACACTTCTCGAATTGATGTTCCTTGAAAATTTTAATGTTAAATATCTTTTAAATAATTAAGCGGCTATGCCTAAAATCACATACATAGTATGACTCCAAAACTATAAATGATTTAACCAAGATGGATACTTGGGAAGTTCTCCCTGCGAACGTCGCGAATTCATATCGGAATACGCTCAAATCATCGCGCCAAAAAATAAAAACGCGGAATAAATATAGACTCGGTAATTCGTGGACAGTCGCGCTTTAACGAAGATTGTCCACTGTCATAATCATGACATACTCTATCCATAATCGAACAGACGATCTCTGCGAGAACTCGTGAATGATTATGGAGATGATAAAAAATTCCCTAGACGAGCAAACTAACGAGATACTCGTTTCTTTTTTTTCTCTTAGAAAGACACGTAGCATTAAATTTTCGTAGAGATTCGTAAAAATGTTAAATCCTAGATCGAACTCCAGAAATCAATCGGTTTTGTTCGATCATGGCCAAGGAGTATCTTACAAGAATATTGAGCGACTCGACGGAATTTGTTCCAAACTGCTCGAATCGCTTTAAAATATTCATCGAACTTTTCGAAAGCATTCTTCTTTTCGAGAAAGCTATTCCCAACGATATAACTCGTTCTGCTCCGTTTAATATAAATAATTCTTAGGCTCTTCCGTGGGCTGGCCGCATACTCCGTGGTACTTTTTCGAAACTAGACTTCGACTACGGCAGTTCTCGATTTCCAGGAAACATTCGTTGCTGTAGGTCATGCCATCGGTACCGCAAACCGGATCGTAATAGGGCGGACAGATCTTTTGACAGCCGCGGAACAGGAAACCTTGAACGCATCTCTTCATGGGCACAACGTATACGTGTTTCCTAACCAACATAAATTCAAACGAAATTAAAAGTAGGCACGGTAGACTATTAGAAAGAGGTGTCAAAATATAATTTCGCCCGGTACGATATTTACTAATGAGTCAACTCTACTCAATCATAATTAAGGTTGCGAGTGTTTCAGGTCAATTGGTCACCGTTTCCATTCAGAAGTATAGTCCCTCTTATGAAAGATGATCTGCATTCAGAGTAGATGTAATTTCAACGCACAATTGCCACTTACCCGCAATTGTCCCTCTTCATCTCGCACTCGTTACGATAAAGCTTGTTGTCGGAACCGCAAACAAACTGACGTTCCCCGCTGCAGATCTGGTTGCAAAGCGCTGTGGTACGACAATGTTGTGCTGGAACTTGAACCACCCTCTGACCGCATGTTTCACGCCGCAGATGGCAAAGGGATCTAAAAGCATACGAGTACACGTGTGACGCATTTGTAGACATAAATTTCTCTGGAGAAATATAGGACGTCAGATGTCGCGAGAGTTTCTAGGATCCCCTAAGGACTTGGCTCGAGTAATTATCGATAAAAACTAGTTCGACAATAAATCGTCTACAAGGGGGATATGACTTTGAGACTCTCTACGAATAGTCATTTTGAAAAGGAAATTGTTTGTGTCTTCTAACGAGCGAACGTTCGTGATTCACGTGCCCTTAAAACTCTCGGCGCCGAACGTCCTGGAATCCAAATAACACTCTTAATCACCGGTAAACGTTGCCGTCACTTCCACAAACTGGTTCTTCGGGTACCTCGCTACAATCTTCGGGGCACTGTTCGGTCTCCTTCAAGGTTGTACACTCCCCTACGTGAGCCAATTGAATGCCCTTTCTGAAATGTAGCAATTAGGTCAAATTCACCGCAACGAAAAGAAATTCGAACTACAGTTACTGAACGACTCGAGTGATACTCATCGCGTGATACGCTAAGCGATTGCGCTAATTGCACCATATTTCATTCGGAATTATGTTTAAATAAATCTTCACGGAAACGTAGAACTTACAGGCACACTGCCACGTTCAGATGACACTGATTCGGGTAAGTGTTCGCGTCGCTACCGCAAACTGGATCCACGTCGCTACCACATTTCTGCTGTTGCTTCATGCACTTGGTCAAACGTGGTCGACACTTCTCGAAATCTACCACGGTCACTTTTCTTCTCGCTTGCCTATAAATTTGTGATGTCGCCATGATTAACGGTATTATTAGAGGCTAACTAGATATTAAATAATATTACGGTTTATGTCGGGAAACTGACCCACAATTCAGCATCTGCATTTCGCACTCGTTCCTGTATATGCTGCCGTCCGATCCGCAGGTTGGCACTTCCGCTTCATTTTTACAGTCCAAAGGACACGCGTTCGTTTGTCCACCGGACGTCCGTTCCCGCGATACGCAGAACGACATTGGCACCTCGAACACGTGCTTGCTAAACGATCGATCACATTGAGAATCCGCGACACACGAAGAAAATTGAACGCGGGACTCGATAGTTATTCGAAACGAGAATTTTCTCAAGGATGTATGCTGTGCTTACCCGCAATTCTTAGCTCGCATTTTGCAGGTGTTCGAGTAGAGGATACCATCGCTACCACAGGCTGGTTTGGCACCGCGCCAGCAAGATTCACGACAGTGTCTCGTTGTCTGGCAATGTTTTTTGTTCGTACGCACGACACCTTGTCTACCAGGAAAAAACATGTATCTTAGTTATCAGAAACCAATTAAATTTCTTAAACGGCTGTATTCCAAGATTATTTCGCGTCGATACGTACCCGCAAGTGAGCAGCTTCATTTGACAAGTAGATTTATAGACGTTCCCATCGCTACCACAGATCGGTCCATCGAGAGGAGCAAAGTCGCAAGATACTGGACAATTCTCTCTGTGCGCAGAGATGTTATTGCAGGGACCCAAGTGAGACAACTCGATGCCGACCCTGCAGATCTCGACCCTTAACATGCACTTGTTGAGGTACGTGCGGCCATCGGTACCGCACACTGGGTCCTGGTCTCCTGGACAACGATGCTCACACTTGCTACCGGATGACCTCAGGCAAGCGGTCTTATCCGTGGCTATGGTTACACCTGTACGATCGATACATCATTAGTAAATGAATCAAAAGGTTAAAGCAACATTGTTTAATTTCTACTAGTCTCAACTATAAGTTCTTAGACGATGAAAATGAGAAATAAAACGTATTTGATACTTCTTTATCGTTGTCTGTTACTCAGAAGACATCAGCCATCGTAAAGCAAGACGTCAAGAGGTAATAAAGTTTAGACGATTCGCGTTGAAAAGGAAATATACGCGGCAAGATTAGGAAAGGAATTAATAGTTCCCTTCTAAACGGCTTAAGACGTCGTTCTCTCGGTCTTTGACCGATACTCTAAGGGCATCAGCTGCACGGCTCTATTGTACGTTATCATTAATAGCAGTCTTGAATATACTTTAAACACGTTTAACATCTTGCACGATGGTTGCGACGCGCTACTTCAACGGATGTTGTAAAACAACCGCAAAATCGTTAAAAGGGGAAGAGAAAAGATAAGAGCCGTATACATATGGGCCATGTAATCATAATTATTGTAGTTAAAAGGTGCTCACCTTTTCCACACATCTTCTTCCGCATTTCACACTGCGACGCGTAGATCACCCCGTCGCTACCGCACACGGGTTCTCCGCTTGGCGGGCATATTCTTGGACAGGCGGCGGTCACGAAGTCTGCAACAGAAATCAATCGAGATCAGCACGGGCCACCGTGTTTTCTTTATTCCTCGGCACGCATCGGCGATCGCGTTAGCGTTTGATCGATCTCGTGGAACAAGCTACACCGTGTATACCTTACCTGCACGGAACGTAACGAGGTACCTGTTGGATCATAAAGCGAAATGACATTTACTGTTACTTCGTTTTATCGTCAGTCTTCTTTGTCGAACCGACATATAAACGTTAGTGTAACGACGTAATTACGACGAAGGGAGGAACGTGTTTATGTATATGTATGTACGCGCTAGGCTGAAAAGGATGACTAGCGAAACACGCATACCTCGAGAAGAATCAGTAATTGACATTCGCATAAGAAAAATGAATCTGCTCCTGAGCTACAGAAATGACGCTTTGACAGTCAACGTTCAAGGACCCGAGTCACAAAGTTATAGTGACTCGGGTCACGCAAAAGTTATAGATCTTTGATGGAATCGTGAACTGTCGAATTGTTAGCATATCGAGAGGATACGTCGCGCATCGAAACGCGTTTAAATTATTCCTTACCGTAACGCTCACAAAATAAGAGTATCGCGAAGGCGTCTCCCGTATTCATTCGCTTATCTTTAACTGTACACTTCGATTTTATAATTTGTTACATATTATGCGAGCCGATGTAGAGTCGGTGTAGTAAATCCTGTGTGCTGTTGACCCGACGATCACTGGACCGAAACCAGCCAACGGGCCTGTACCAGAGATATCAGCAAGGAGGGTCAACAGGAAGCAATTAAAGTTTCGACCGAATCTCGTGACGGTACGAGTTACCTGTTACTTTGTTGCGTATAAAAACACGAATTCCTTAAATTCGAGTCTGGGTGACCATCAATTTCAGCAGCGCCGTTCGACGGTTAACGGATGCAGAAGACTTCGCATTCGGTCCATAAATTCTTAGCCAACGATGGATGATTCACTGTCTCTTTTCACGATAATTTATCTGCGATCAAAGTCACGCACAGAGCCTGTACGACGCTCCAGTTGCTCGTAAAATGTTTTTCTTCTTCGAAAATCGCGTTTACCACAAGACTTCTTTGGCGAAACTCCTCGGGTTACAATTTGCCAGGATAGCGCGCGCGATTAGAATCGTGTTCGCGGCGAGGGTAATTCGTAGCTAGCTAAAATCGGAGAATCTTGCTTGAAATCCGCCAGATGAACGAGATAAAACGATACGTATTGTAATATAAGGGACTCCGAGAATCCTTGCGCTTACGAACACTGCTCAAAGATGCCGCGAATGTTTGCCGATATTATACCCCTTTTCGCGTAATAATCGAGTTATGCTTCTTCCTGCTTCGCGGGGAGCCAGACAACGCTAATAACTGAATACGGCCAGCGATAAGGCTCGTCAGAGTATACGAGCGTACCCGCTTATCGTAATCGCAGGGATTACGATTTATCGATCGGTTGCTAGCGGTTAATGCAGTCTGCTCGCGATGCTAGTATTCTGAACGATATCTAAATTGAATTTTCATCGAACGTCGATCGAGGAACGATTCTTCTATCGGATCTTCGCGAACACAATCGGTTATGATAGACGAACACTCTCTAAACATCGATAAATGGAGATAATAAAAGGAGCAAGTATAGACACGAGTATGCATAGCGCGAGGCTTCATCCGCAAAGGGTTAATCATCTTTCCGTGGAAGCGAACGCGAGCGAAGCAGATCCAGAGTGCGCGTTTCTAACCGGAACATCCCTTTCTACCGTTTCTCAGCCGTGTCTCCAGGAATAGCGGCGGGAAACACGAACAAAAGCCGCAAAAGTTCTGTACATTGTTCATTTTATTTATGAGCCACGACTTATTCGTATCAAATCGTTCCGGTTCGTTAAACAGATCCTTATTTCTCCGTGTTATCGATCGTTGGCGATCCAAGTGCACCAAGTCTTGTACCTCTCTCGGCTTCTCGTTTCGTGGACAAAAATCCAAGGAGCAGCATCCACCCGGTCAGCGTGCATCCTTGCCGTGGTTCACCGACCCGCATATTTCTTCTTCCTCTCTCGCTCTCTTTCACCCTCTTTGTTCCTCTTTTGTCCTCGTTCCGTCTTGCTTCCTCGTTCGAGCAAATGGCGCGTATCCATTGTGCACATCGTGCGGATGCATGCACGCGCTCGACTCGAGACTCGACTCGGTTGGGCTCGTACGATTTCTACGACGGTTACGTATATGTGTATAATTCGATCTGCATTGTTCGCCAATTCACCCTCTGGCCAGACATCGCCGCTGATTGGCATAATTGATTCACTTAATCGCGTTCGTGGGAGTGACGGACACCTCCTTCAGGGGACGGCTGTCAACATGCTAATCACGCGACCACTTGACCAACCGATGTCTGCACGATCAAGAATCCGATGCCGCTCTTTTTCTTTCTCCTTCTTCTTCGTGCATCCGTCTTGCGTTCCGCCGTGCTTTAATAGGGAAGTATTGTGCTCGGTCTTTTGATTATACAGGGATGACTCGTTAAACAACGGAAGGAATGCGGATCCGCTAATTGGTTATAACTTAATAAGCGCCTCTCTTCGATTTACGATCACGTCGTCTCGGAACGTATCGAGAATAAGTGTATTGGAATATTAACCAAGAACGAATTTGGTTCACCTACTGATTTTCCTGGAGCTCCTAGGATGATAATCAGCATGCAGTTTTTTCTAATTTCGAAATAGAGAACGTTCGTTATCCGTACAATAATTTGCGTCACATTTATAGGCGCGACAATTGCAGGGTTCACAATCAACGTTCCACTTGATATAATCATACATCCACCGTCGAATTACGCTTGACAACGAATGGCGAAGGGTTAAGTAGATGTCAATTAATCGGACACGTGCTACATGGTGTAAATTGGCTGCGAACAAGGCAATCTAAAGGTTGAGAAGAAAAATGCAGCGGACGACGAGGAATGCGGCTTGGTGCGAAAACGAGAAACGGTGACCCGTGAAATTGCTTCGCCGCGAAAAGATGAACTTAACCTTCGACTTAATTAACACCGCCAACGAGCATGCGTTACGCCGATAAATCGAGATAGGTGCTCGCGCGGAAGTCGGAATCGTCGAATGCCTTTCCAACTTTCTTACGGATTCTAGCGAATAGCTGGCGTTGGAACGCTTGACAAATTGTACCGTGTGCTCGCGATCGGTTATCTGAGCTGAGTGTGCACGACTCGACGCGCTTCTTCCTCGAACAGCTTGCGATTCTTCCGCGAGTCAAACAGTCCATGGGGTCTTTACCGTTTCAAACCTGCGGACGTGTAAATACGTTCGACAAGTAGTATGGGCGTGTGACTACAGTAACCGTGGACATCTTTACGCCTTACGCGATCTGTAGGAAACCGTTGCTCGGATACTTCATCACGGTGGCGGAGAGTGCGATTCTGAAATGCCTTCTTTGGATTCCATCTTATCAAACTGCTCTTTTTTCACTGATCTTTCCGGTCGTTAATTTATGCCCAATTAGGCGATTAATTATGTATCAAATCAGGAATTGTTAAAAAGGAAAGTTGTTCGCTTAGAAGATGTTCGAAAAGAGGAAAAGATGGAATAGGAACTGGCGCCCATGTAAACGATCCATTAATCCTTGCGTATAATCGCGTGCTCGGGACAGTGCATATCTCGTCCGGCGAAAGCAACGTCCGCGTAAATCATTCGCGATCGATAGCGTGAAAATCACGGTAAGGTCGTTCGTGTTCGCAGTTGTTCGCTCTCGTCGCGTCGGTTCGTGCACAACATCCTCTAACCCGGGTCTCGACCGATCTTCTCGACGTAGCCGGCCACTTTATCATCGCGAAACGATCTCGTCTTCCTCATAGCATTGTCCCGTAACACGTCCGAGTCTTTCGTTGCATTAACGAGCTTTTATTTCTGTTATGTAGCACGCGAGCTCCAGCTATGAAACCCGATCCAAAATCAAAGAAACGGGGAATGTATGTGCAGAAAAATCATCGTCCGATAACTTCAGAATAGAACATAAACGTATAGCTTGCAATATGCACATTTTGTATTCCATTGTTCTGTTTAAAGTTTATTGATGAACTATTTCACTTTACTGTTTCACCGTTTGCTTTACTCTTCACGGCATACTTAACCGGTATTCGCTATGCTCATTGGTTTCGCACTAATTTCAATCGACACGCTGAAAAATGTTGAATCTACAATTAGTATCGAAGACGTATCAATGATGTACGTAACCGCTTAGCAGCGGGTATATCCTACTCAGATTATACATAGATACAAGCTATCAAACGGAATACGTTAACCCGTGAAGGGACCAATTACAATTTAGCCGGCTGTATCTAATCGAAACTGGTTTCACGCGCTTCTTAGTCGTGCAATGACACCGCGTTCATTGAGAGGAAGGGTATATTACGATTCTCTCGAATAGATTTCAAACAGAAACAATGCTCGTAAACACTGATCATGGAGTACCGGTTCAAACTAATTTGTTCTAACTGTACACGCATTGGATTCGTATTACAAACCCCGAGCAAAAAGTTAATTAAACGTTAGAGTATAGTTGACCAGTCGTACTGTGAATTTTTCGCAAAAAATTTGAAATCGACTGTCGGTATTTTCGAATACAGCAATTAGAAATCGATCGGTGTGACGCTAATAGAATCCTCCCATGTTCGAACACCTCGATGCTCGCAAAAAGCGGCATGACGACAAAACTGGTGTTATTAAAAGTGCATGATCGTAACGAAGAGGGTAGGGAATGGCGCGTGGCCCTGACGATCGGCAAAAAACATCGGTATGTGTGTCGCCGGTAGTGAAGGAGCACGACAAACGAGTCGTGTTCCATAAATCGTCGCGTTCGGTTTAAGTGGCGTGTGGAGTGGTAAGTAGAGTACTGGGGCGAAAAACTACCTCCCAGATCTTACACGAGCGTACAGGATAGAAGACGCGAGCGGAAGCGAGAGAACGAGTCGACTCGCGAGCGAGTGATCGGTTGATCCGTTAACTATATTGGAGAAAACCTTCGATCGAACATACTCCACTGTCCAACTTTTTTCTGTCTCTTTCCGTGTCTCGAGCGTGTACAGAACCGACGTCGATGGAGCAGCGCGAAAATTCCAAAGCGTACCGGCAGTTTTCTCCGCGGAGACAGAAAATTACGAAGGTGCGTGCTTTGATTTGTTGGCAATCCGCTGAAATTTCAATCGACGAACGTGCCACACGCTAGTCTCTTATCCCTGTTCGTGATTGCGTTTAGCGATGTTTCGTGACGGGTGTTGACAAGCGAATTTATACCTTCGAGAAAATGCTATATCCATCGTATTTATCAAATTACGGTAAAGTCTAATTATACGGTGAGGAAGGTGACGATTTTTCTTGAAGCGATAGATATAATATATAGTGTGCTAATACGATACATGGATTGAATTCAGAAGTTTGTTCACGGTTCATCTACGTTATAAATTAATAAATAAAATAGTTATAAAAGACTATGTGTTTAATTCCTAATCCCTTCTTCTGTTGTTCAGAGCTTCGCGTACAAGATCAAGACGCAATATTTTATAAGCTAGTTATAATATTATGCTCACCTAAGTCGATAATTTGTAATTTGTAGAGTCACGCGAGCAAATAGATTTCGCCGATGTTCACAGAATTTATTAAGGATTTCACGAGAAAAATCTCCGTGGAATCGTATGATTAATACGGTATCGTATACCGAAAGCCTGAAAGCATCGATCTCTGTGTTTCGTGCGACGCGGAAGATGAGTTACGACATTTAAGCATGCACTTTGGTAACGAAACGTTCGCGCAGCGGTAGTAAAACCTATGGAATCCTATGAGGATGCTATGGTCTCGAAGGCATAAACCTTCGGTTGTAATTCGAGATTTCCTCGAGCAAAGGTGTTTCATTGAACAACGTCGAAACCGCGTCGTGAGAGAAGCTTACGGTAAACTATGTACGCGAGCGTTGCGTTTAAGGAAATTGGGTATTAAAGGTAATTAGGGTAAAACGAGGTAAGAGGGACGGAATATTGAGCGATTAAGAAGGAACGCATCACTGCATCCCAGAGAAAGGATAATTAGCCAACGAAGGTCGACAACCAAAAGATCGTTGAACCTTTTTTACTATTCCGTTGAACCAATAAATTAATCGGAGATTTACGACGACGCTGTTACGAGAGCTGACAGCTTTGATCGATGTTATTAAGGTAACGTCAGCGAGACGTTCTTTTTGATCGGTAGATTTCGCTTTTAATCGAGTGTACACTGCACCATTTTGTAATGTATACCTTGTAAGTGGTTCTCATCCCTTCAGATTTTTTTTTATACTGTCAACTTTATGCAAATCTACACCAATGAATCTCCCATCATCGCCGTCAAATTTAATCGCAGATTTACTTATTTGCAATAAAGGAAACGAATCAGTCTACCATATAGAACTTTTATTACGATGTTGTACGAGAACGACCTCGACCCTTAATTTGTGTTCTGCTATTAATAGGCCCCGAGAGGTAGACCCATCATTTATTTAACACTGTTCTGTCGTGTCAAATGCAGGTCGAAAGTGACCCAGATTGAACGCGCATTCTCCGAGCAAAGTTGCATAGAAAATGTAATCCTTCATTTTCTCTCGCAGCAACGCGTGATTTATAGTGATCGATCGATGAAGCTCCACGAAGGAAAATCGAGCCACCAGGATAATTTTCAACGATCTCAATCTTTCATTGATACGAGCAAACGAGGCGAAAGCCTTCAGCCTCGGATGCAACTATTAATTTACAGCGATTCCCGTGATTCACCGAGAAGAAAGAGTATGAAAGTAACCTCGACCTTACCTCCATACCTACTTAAGTCTAGGTCAGGGTTTCATAGCTTCTAAATTATCTTCAACATTATACTCGTACAATCATATACAAGAAGGAAAAAGGAAAGAAAGGAAAAGAAAAGGTCTAACTTTTGAATACCGATAAAATTAATGCGCTGTGAATGATTGTCAGATTATAAAATTAATCTTTGATGTTCATACTTTCCTTTAATGATTCACGTTTTCGAGGTTTTACGAGGCACAACTGTTTTTATCGCGAATTAATTGTACTTCAGAAACCGTAATCTTTGATATTAATAATCTTCGGTACCTATTAATAGCGTGTGGATTAAGAATCGGTAGCACCGAGATGCTAGTTTTATTCCAGGTTATTCGCTCGAAAGCGAGCAAAAAGGACGCAGGCGTTTTTATTCCAGGATCGGGACTTTCTTAAATGCCTTCCGCGAGGTCTTTTTAATCCTTGTTTCATTGATGATCAAGGAGAAATCATTGAACATATGTAAATTAGAAAAGTAGAGCGTGGAACCGACAGTCGAGATAAGTAGATAAGACCCAATGATATTCAATATAAAATGCATCGGAGCGAATGCATTAACAACTTCTCGTTCCCCTTTTTTGTTCTCGTTAAAAAGAAACGAGTAAACGCTAACCCCGCCGATGACTTCACAAGATATATAAGCTGTTTGATATAGAGAAAAAAACGGTTGATTTTTATTCGAGCG